TGCGCTTATTAAGCCGGGATTGAAAGAGTCCGAGAGGTTCCGGACAGACACAATAGCGGACCTGGACGAGTATCGTTTATTCACGTTTTTGCCCTTCGTTGCGAAGGGATAGAAGGGTAGAGAAGAGCCGTTGTGTAGCGCGCGACTTTATTATTACGAAATATCGATTAAAATGCAGGACACGAGAATTTTATTTCTGGTCTGGCACGACCAGACAAGATCGTTGATTTTTTTCTTCGGTTTAATTTAAAAAATTATCTATTCGCGATTTAAGAGTATCGTCGCTCTCGACAATATATTCGTAGCGAAATGACAAAACTTTTAAAAATAACGCCTTACGAGCATGTTATTCATTATGACAATTAAATATATCTATAGAGGAGAGAAGATATCATCATTGTCGTGCATATTTCGTAGTAGATTTTTTTTCCGCAAATATTTAATGAATTTTAACATAAAATTATTTCGTTTCTTTGATCGAATGTTAAATTTCAATGGGACGATATGAAATTTCATACTTGCTATAACTTTACACAAACACGACTATGTAAACGATCGATTAAAAACTTGCCGTTTATAATATAAATAAAAATATAATACATAAAATATAAAATACTCGTCCAAGCGATCGATATTGGCGAAGCTTAACCAAGTCGTCCTTAAGAGTCACTCTCTAAGCCAAAAAGTGCTAAACCCCAACGAATACTCAATTACCAACCAAGTAATAATGTTTTATTGAAATTTGAAGATATAAAAGAAGCAGTTCGTCATAGGTAACCATTGTCTCTCTTCCAATAAAATCTTTAGTCAAGCAAGCAAAATTCCAAAAAGTTCGTCATGCATAGATAAAAAAAAAAAAAAAAAAAAATATCTTCGTACATCCCCATGTACATGCACATGCTTATAATTCAAATAGATATGCCCTTTAGCTCTCTCTCTCTCTCTCTCTCTCTCTCTCTCTCTCTCTCTCTCTCTCTCTCTCTCACCTCTCTCAACTCTCACACCTCTCTCACCTCTTTCACCTCTCTCACCCTCTCGCACACAACACACACACAAAAATATTATAACCAACACCAAATTAACAGCAAGTAAAATACATCAATGAAATACACCACTATTTCATGACAATCGTGATTATTGCTTAAATGTTATTAAAATGATTGTCTTTAAGGATGCATTAACTTCAAAACTTGAAAAACAGTAATATTCTAATCGATGATGATTTATGCGACTGTACAATGACTGTGAATCGTGACTGTGATGATCGTGAAGTTCCTAGTAAATAATGAACTGTAACCGCAGCTTATCAACGACCAATTAAAAGCCTATGGGAATCGCGCTTCTTTAATTGTACGATCATCATCCGCTCGAGAGGCAAATCACGTATTCGTATTGCAATATTGGCAAGCCTGTAATAATGATAATAAGATTAAGCGAAGCTATATCATGGCACGTTTGACAAATTTTGAAGTTGGCTGTCACCGCCATCGCCCATCCAAGACGCAGTGGGGGGGAGTTGATTGAAGGATTGGTAAAGTGAAAACGAATAACGACAGGCTGATTGTGGTGCGGGGGTCCTCGTGGTAGATAGAGGAGGTAAGGATGCAGGTGCCGATGAGACTCGGCGCGACTCACCGTCGAAGGGACACAGGGATTGATGGCGCTGGCGCTGATGACAATGACGATTGCGATCGCAATCCCGATGCTTGCGTTGATGATCGATTTGCAGGTGCTGATGATTGCGAGTCCCGGGCAATGGGGGCAGCACCGCAACCGCCTGGGGGAACGGCGGGGCTGCGCCCGCACGCGCGAACTGCCCTACACACGTGCCACAACGTTGCATCCCAGTCTCATTGTCAGATTAGCCCTAACGATCGCACGCGCGACCCCCTTTGCCGTGCCTTAAGGGCTGAGCGCGACCTGCCTTACCGACCGCTGCTTCCCTCCCTCTCATCGCGGATTTAATAAAAATACGCTCGTTCTATGAGCTTCCGGTCTTTACCGAAGCCCGAGGTCGGCGATTCCGCGTGTACATCTTTTATTAAATACGACTGGCAAATGATGTGAATGTTGACCTCGGATGCCTAACGGCGTCGAAACAATAATGGACATTTTGTCAATTGGTTTATCAATATTATTGACTGATTATTAATGTGATTAATAAGAGGCGATTGTTAATATTGTCGACGTCGTATTCAATGACACGAATTTTATTTTTATTTTTAAATTCACGAGAGATTATTATGCTTGCAATAATATACTCGTAAGGCACTTATAAAATTCTACTGTCAATATGTCCTCCCGTTCGATTAGAGGCTTTGCCTTGGCGCCATTAATGCCTATTTGATTGCATTATTTATTTATAAGCAAATTATTGTATAATATTTTTATCGTTAATGTGTTTTTTTTTTTTTTTTTTTTTTTTGAATCTGTAAAAGTGGTGCAAAATTATTTTACTAATTGTAAAACAAGTCTCGGTTCGTCAATAACTCATCGATGACGCGTTGTTAGTGTAAAAATTGAAAGGAATACTTTGCAACTCAATTCAATTATACATAATTTCGATAATTAAATATTAAATGGAAATTAAATATTGCACAAGTATATAGAAGTGTTTTTACACGATAACTGTTAATGCATCGTGCCATTTTGATAAAAGATGTACGTGTTCTGATTAAAATCCGATAAAAATTTTTAACGAAAATACCTTAATGTTACTAATTTAATATTTACTATAGAAAGCTAACTACTTTTTATACATTAAAATAATAATAATATTATACACATATCCATACGCATGCGCGCACGCGTGTGTTCTAATGTATGTATATATATATATATATATATATGTATGTATGTATGTATGTATTAATATTAATTTAATTTGGTAAGATAATTTGACCGTAAGATTTTTAATACTTTAATAGGTAATTTCTAATATATGAACTGTACCTCATTTTGTTTATAAATGTGAAGAAAAAAAAATAAAGAACAAACCGAGAATTCGTAATGTAAAGTAAATATGTAAATAGAAGATTTTCTTTTTCCTAGTTAAAATTTTTATAGTTAAATTTAAAATTTTGAAATATCGCAGAAAAGAATGTTAAAAGCTTTTGTATTTTAATATATTTTTAAACTTTGAAATGCATATAAGCAGCACACGTAAAGAATATTTCTAGAGAATTATAAAATATCCTTTATGAAATGGGAACGATTTTAAAAATACTTAAAAATATAATTAAATGTGTAGAAATTTAGAATGTAGAAAATAGAAATTTACGTATGTACATATATATAAATTAGAAATAATTTCAGCTTCAATAACATTCTTCTCGGCAAATTACTAAAATTTAATTCTAAGGCTTTTCGTGTCGCGTAAACTCATTGAAGTTATAACAAATGCAATACTTTCTTAACACGGCGGCTATAACTAATGTCTTAAATAAGTTTTGGAACTCGATCAAACAACAACCAAAACGCACGTAATGAGTACACCAAGCCACGACGAATAAAAGAAAAGCCTTCTACTATTAAGCATGCTTTTATTGCCATAAAGTGCTATGTATACTTGTAGTCTATAATAAGACAAGAATAAAAATGTCCGGCATCTGCTTGAAAATGAAAATGAATGATCACCGAAACCTATGAAGAGATATTTTGCTTCAAAACTGAATAAAATACTTGAAATGACTACAGCACTTTTTGCTTTGTTAATATTTATAAGCGTCATTAACGTTATACGTTACTTGGTAGTGAATCGTAATTTCAATGTTTTTCATAAATTACATTATTCAAATTAGAGGCTCGTTATTCATCAATAATGAAATACCAACGGATTGGTAATTTATTTCATAATAAGTGTTGCAACCTGAAAAAAACGGATTACTAAATTTGATACGCCATCGGTATTTTTATATGTTCCGTAAATATATGATTATTTATGGCAATGATATGAACAAAATAGTACCTGTTGGTGAATACCGAGAAGCACGTTTTTTCATCGTATTCGATGGGTACGGTGGTTAAGACTAAATCTATCCATGTTCATGAAAACAAAAACAAAAACAAAAACAAAAACAAAAACAAAAAAAAAAACAAAAAAACAAAAAAGAAAATAAAACTGTCCCGCGTTATTATTTAATCTTGAATGTCGTCAGACGCGTACTGTAGAATTTCAAGATTTTAAAGCAGTTTCGCAAAGTAATAGTTTAGACATTTCAAAGGCCGTCGTCGATACTGTTACTTTACTGTAAATCGTAAAAACAAAAATAAAAAGTAACGTCGCGTCGTAAAATCGCGCCATGTGTTCAATAAAGCGAAATAAATGAGTATCTCGATAGCAGTAAAGTAACAATAAGCGATATTTCGAGGAATATCGTCGGATAAAAGTTGGGTGAAAGTGATGATCGAAGGAGAGGGCCTTGACGAAATTGTGGCGCCGAGAAGAGCCGATGAATCGACTTTACGAGTGGACAAGCACGTCATCCACGCGTCAGCTTAATCTCAGCCTCCGGTCACGCACAATTACGCAAAGCCTCGCTGAGTCGACCAAGACGCGAGCGAGTCGAGATGAATCAATGGGCCGCTAAGAATCCGTCCGGAATGGCTCCGGGCGTTGCCGTATCCTTGACCCCAGGCCAGGACGACTTCCTGGATGTACGTACCTTGCAAGGCGGAGTGCCGACGTTGGGGAGGCGGTGGACTGCCCCCGGCCTCGACGCTGCTTCCACTGTGGCTGTCCAGTTGCGTACTGTGACCGCTGTCACTGCTCGTCACCGAACCTACGCACACGCGCCGACACAACACAAACTTCCATCACTACGTTCTTGCTGTTTTGTAGCCGTTAATCATTGACCCCGTGGTCGCTGCCTACAATCATTCTCACCTCCTTACTACTTTTTTCTCCACTTTCTTTTTTTTACATTATCATTTGCACACGCAAACACGAGCACGCAAATATCCCTTTTGTCTCCCCGTTTCTCTCTCTCTCTCTCTCTCTCTCTCTCTCTCTCTCTCTCTCGTTCAATCCTCGATTAATTATATTTAATTTAGAATATTATTATCGTACGCAACGAATTTATATCTTGCTTGCACGCTGAAAAAATGAATCGCCAAATGATCCACTAAATTTTCCCATTAATGTTGACTTTTTTTTTTTTTTTTTTTTTTTTTTTTTTTTTTTTTTTTGTTTCACGTCATTCGTAAACTAACGCAATGAAGGCTGCTTTCTTCTAAGAATAATAACTAATCATTTTGGTAACTGATTATGATTGTATGAAAATCGTATGATTTTATGATGCCTAAGACTGATTGACTCTCTTGGTTATACAATGTCAATGGCAATCGTACGATAAGTGTAGTGATTTTAATAACATTGGCAGCTAAAATATTATGATTAAATAACTAAATTAACTACTAAGAGAATTACACTAACTACTTTATAATTTATGGCTTTTTCTTAAAAAACTGACGTATAAAAATTAAAATTATCAAACATTAAAAAGACAGAATTGATTAGGACACTTATTTGACGTTCAAAAAAAGTATTGCAAACATTTTAATGGATCATCAGCAAAACATTTCCTTTCTTTTTCTTTTCCTTTGTTTATTTCATTGTATTTTAATTTTCTTTTCTTCTGTTTTTTTTTTTTTTTTTTTTTTTTTTTTTTTTTTTTTCTTTTTGCAGAAAACGAATTCGATAAAATTATTATCTTAGAATATTAAAATTTTGTAAGTACTCAGTGCATTTGCTACACATTAACTGTCATTTGTTTGTCAAGCAAACTACTATTTTGCCTATTTGCGCAAACTGTACTACGAAGCAAGTGTATTAATAATAATATAATAAACATGATAACAATGAATAGTGACATTTATTTTTTTGTCAGATTTTTCGTTCATTATTGTTTTCTATCGCATCCGTTGGCAAAATCCCGTTAATACATGATTTGGCAATGATATTAGTGTTAAAATTCCCCGAGTGTAAGTAGCATATAGAATATATTTATAAAAAGAGAGTAAAATCTTGACACAAGTTCAGTACAGAAATTGTAAAAAGCCAAGTTCTCAGTGTATATAGTAGAATATATGATGCGTGCGCGAGTGGTAATAATACAACGAGAAGACATGAAACATTCATGAATAATAATTGCGTGACGGCTGTGCAGCGTGCAAAACAAAAAGGACTCTCTTCCTTCCTCTTTTTCGATCTTTCAAAATAATTATTTGCTTTGTCTTCCAACTTCCTCTTTCCTTTTCACAAACCCACTCCTCAAATTCGTTTCTACACAACTTACACTAACTCCTTCGCACTCTCTCCTTGCATATATATATATATATATATATATATATATATATATATATTTCTCAATCTGTCACTCTCCTTCTATATATTCTCCCCTCCCCCTCACCAACTCGCTCGCTCATATACGCACACGCACGCGCCTTTTTCTCTCTTAATGCTCTTTTATTTTTCTCGTCGATACATGGAGCCATCTTTCTCAATCGCAGTGTCTGATGTTTGTAATAAAAAATATAAACAGTAAAAAAGGGCATATATAACTAATTAAATAACAGATAAAAAATCATTCGCCGATGATAAAAACGAGCAAAAACTGATCCCAGATGAAACATATTTAAAACAATAAAATTTTACCGTAATAAAATACAAATTTATTTCACGATAATCTGATTATGAATTATCGTTGAAATATCGTTTATAGAATATGTAATTTTTTCATAGATTTTTGAATCACAATTAACATGTATGGACATAATGAAAATATGTTGAACTTTCGTAAAAATTTTAAGCAAATATAAACGAAATTGATTTATCGAATTAACATTTTCGTTTTAAGTTTATTCATAAAATAAAAGCTTCGATTTGCCAGACTTTAACAATATTTAATTATGAATTTGCTCGTGCATAATACATTCGTGTTTAATATTGATTTTATGTAATTTTTAAGTTTATTGACATGTCGAAATATTGAAAAGTGGTCGTATTGTTTTCAATATAAAATTTCATCTAGTTAGTAAAGACACACGAGAAATAGAAAAGAGCTAGAGAAAATATATGATATAAATCCCGTCATGTAAAATAATAAAAAAGATATCTATATATATTTGTTTGTTTGTTTGTGTGTGTGTGTAAATAGATAAACGAATACGTAAGTACAAGCATCCATCTATATAATAATGAATAATCATAATGTGTGCGTGTTCGTGTGCGTGAGTGTTTGAAGTGAAGAGAAAAACAGACAGAGAGAGAGAGAGAGAGAGAGAGAGAGAGAGAGAGAGAGACGAGAGACGAGAACGAGGCAGAGTGGGAAAACATGAACTGACTCGTTTCCAATTATTTACGTATCGCAGTGATTATTTGATAAAACTACAAACCGTTTGTTTAACATGATTAATATTATAAATAATGCATCGATAATGCTAATGTAAAATTAGAAAATAATTCTCTATTATTAGTAATCTACTATTCGCAAAAGCTCTGGCAATATTGTGCACTTAAGTTCTGACTAAACTCGCTTGAACAAATTCTCGTTTACATTACCATTCAAATTATTATTTGCTCTTAATAGCTTTTACGATTGTGAATATAAATAATATTTTTTAGCCGAAAAATCGTGTCATGCAAACGCAATGGTGAACTCGATGCCATAATTTAACAGCGCATAAGTAATTAAAAATGGGCAATCAACGTAATGAGCGCCGAGCCCAGGAAAATAAACTCGTGCGCCGTATAAATCTACGAGTGCCTGACTGTTCACTATAAAAGACCCAAAAGTCAAAAGCGATACGTCATTTAATTGGTGGTTGTGCCCGGTCGGTTCGCCCACTGCGCGACGCCGAGGAGGAGTGCGAGCACATCGATAACCTGGCTAGCTGCTACTCACCGCTCGTCAAGGTTTTCCTAAGCGGCTGGAGGTTGCTGAGGCTGGTGACACTGCTACTCTCGGCACTGAGGTCGACGGGCGGTGGGAGGCCCGAGGGCGTGTCGCTGTGCGACCGCTCGTGCATTGGCGCGCGACTGCTACCGGAGCCGACGCGTCGCGCCGCGCCCGGGCTCGACTCCAGGGCGGACGAGTGGAGAGCGAGGCCGGGCACCGGAAGCGGGGGCGCGCAGTGCTTCGGCTGGTAGGGCCGCGTCTTGTGCGGATCCGAGAGGGCGAGCATCTTGCGGACCGCCTGAGGCGAGGCCGCGCCGAACTTCGTGCCTGCGACAAGAGGTTAGGGATGAAAACGTGACGCGCGAAGGATGCCAAAGGCGAGCCTCGCCGTCGTCACGTTGACGGCATCGGCGCTCGAGGTCGGAAGCGCGTTTGCCAAGTGATACGTGATATTCGTAGATTTTGACGAATAAATTAATGACAAGGGCCCGACGCTCGGGTACGGCCTCGCATTTTCGTCCTTTTGCAGACGCCAGTGCTGGTGCTGGTGCTGGTGCTGGTGCTGGTGCTGGTGCTGGTCCCACTTTCGTGCTTAATTACGCGACTTTTCGCAATTACTAATTACCGAACAATCTTAATCGATCAAATGCCACTGGAACGATCGATCATTTTTCTAATTGCTTATCTATTATTGATTAATGGCCGTCAGTTAATTTAATAAAGTCGTGCGAGCGTCTATTGAATCGAATCGTAAATAATTCTCAATTGTATCTTTTATAACTATAATTGTATTTAGTTGTGATAAATTTCGGGCGATCGAAAGAAATTGATTTTTCGTTAGCTTCGAGCTACAATTAGACATTCTTTCGCGATATTCTTGCGACTCTCGAAGCTCGACCCCATAAGCATGATATTCTCTATAAATGTTCACGAATTATCGAAATTTGCCGAATTCTTTTGCCGCATCAGTGAGATTAATTAATTAATCAGCTAAACGTTAATACGATAGAATGAATAAACATTACATTCACGTCTACTCAAACAAATGTGTAAGTACATTTTGCCCCGATCATAGAAAGAATATATAAAGTAATACAGGCATAACTATGAGCTATCGCAATATTTCTGCACGCTAGTATAAAATCCATAACAACGTCTAGTCACAAGAGGAAATAAGAGAGAAATGCAGATGAAAGGGTAAAGGAAGATTTATATCTGCTGTAGTTCATTAAGTTGGCACACAATAACAAATTGTCGAAGACTACACGGACAGATGAGAAAAATACAGTACCTTGTATGCTCTTCCGGCCCTCGCTGGTGCTGCTGGCACTGCTCGTCGTTGAGAGCGTAGGTGACGGATGCCTCCTACCGCGAGATCCCCCGAGAGGCACAGCGGCGGCCATCGCCACGGCGCCCGCGTGCGGCTCGCACTCGACCGACAGCTGGTGCAGCCTCTCTTCGTCGGTAGTGACCTTCATATTAGCGAGGTAGGCCTTTACCCTACGCACCATCTGCGCCTCTTCGAACATCTTTTTCGGATTCGGCGCCGCCGCGGACTTCTTGCGTCTCTTTACCGTTGCCGTCTGCCCGCCTGTTTACATACAAGAATTTTCCAGCAACTGGGAAACTAGACGTGCTCTATCGCTGCTATCGGAGCTTCAAATGAATTCAACGTTTTTAACGCTCATACGTGCTATTATCAATATATTTTACAAAAACATCGCCGCTGCTGCTTAAAGAGCATGACGAATCAAGGAGCGAGTTTAATAGTAATAACAAGTAAATAGATGAAGAAAATTTTAATTGAGAGATCGAAAGGCAATTAAGGTTAAAATAAACGTACTCCTCTTACCTTGATTACCAGTGGTCATTTGATTAAGGGCCACCATTGCGGAACTAGGCGGCTGTCCTCCGCGTTCTAACATTGTTAGCAAGTCGTAAGCCGACGAGCACATGTTCGTTAGAGTTCGAACTTCTTTCGCTATCATTCGAAGCTTCTCGAAGTTCACTAGTCCTTCTACTCTCGAATCGTTACCGAGATGTATAAATGTTAGATCTTTCTTAACAACTGGATAAAATGGAATCTAAAAAGAAAAAAAAAAGAAAGATAAGCAATAGATGATGGGGACACGGTAATTCGGTCGGTAGAGTGATTTATTAATTTGGATCGATTGTAGCTTACGATCGGAGGCTGAGTTTGTTCGCTAGCAACTAACTGTCGGTATTTGCTCATATTTCGGCTGGGATCCATAAGCTCCTGCAGGTCGCTGAAGAGCCTTTGATATTTGCTGGGTAACTTCTCCCAAGAAGCTCTGAGCCTCGAAACGGCTCCATGACCCAAGCCAGAGACAATTGCAAACATAGAATTGAAATTTTTGCATTCTTTGCATTGACCTATTTGTAAGACGTATATGAAAATTAATTATCATTAATTGCAAGGCATGATTAGATCATTAGATTGCGATTGTGCGACGTTGAGAAATACTTACGTGCTATTTTTATAAACTGTTTAATGATTTTACTACGCCTGACGAGATTATGTTCGGAACACACTTCCGTAACGACCCAAAACATTTCACGATTCACTAGTTCGGCAAACTGGCTCAACATTGGCACGCCGTATTTACTTTTCAATTCGAAAAGATCGTCCACGTATTCGGTAGATTCGATTTGCCTGGAAATACAAATAGTATTTTTAATGTTGATACTTGGAGAGCATAAGAAATATTTTAAATCACTATTAGCTTAGCCATCTCATGTTTTACAGTCTTATAAATCAGTGGGCGAGCAGCAGAATATATGAAAATATTAAATTAATTTTACTTAAAAAGTCATCTTTATTACACGTTAAGAATAAATCAGTCCCCAATGAAAATATGTAATACACATTATACGTGCATCGGGAAGGAACATAAAAATTTTATATTCGCTGTAAAAATTTTTCCATTAAAATCAAATGACAATAGAATAAAATATCGGTTATCAACATGAATGATGCGTTATTCAAAAATTTATTCCTTCTAGCAAAGCTTAGGACAAACTAATAATAATACAGATTTACGTCGTTTTCTTACTACCCTGAAAGATCCCGTCCCCGTCATTTTCTTAATAAAAATAAATAAATAAATAAATAAATAAATAAATAAATAAATAGACAGGTTCGACATTAATCGGAAAGTAAACGTTGTGGTTTGTGGCACCGTTTTGAAAAAGTCGATCAATGATTCGAGAAGCTCGTGACCACTCGTGAACTGACCACCCACCCACCTAAATATACTGAAATCCTGGAGGGTGAGTTGAATGGCCACCTCCACCGCATTGAGCTGCAAAAAGTGCACATGGGACTCCCTGACCAGGTCCGGAGCTTGCTCATCGGCAACCAGTGTCTCGGACACCCCGTTTGTCTTGAGGTAATATCTCGAACTCAATCCGATCCTTTCAGCAAGATTCTGCAGTTGGTCGGGCAGCCTCCTCTGCTTTATCATGCCACCCTCGCCGACGCTCACCTCGGCGAGCGAGAAATTTGAGCTGCTCTCCGTGATGCCGAATTCCTGTAGGGCCAGCATAACGACCTCATGAGCCGTCGTCTCCTTGTGTACTAGCAGGTATTTGCAGGTCTGATCGGCTTTGTAGACCTTGAGAACGTGTTCCGGGTAATCGGGCGCCCGCAGATCGTCATAGCAATAGAGCGATGTAAGGTCTGGATTCGAGCGGGAATGATAGAGGTTCGATGACTGCTGCGAGAGGCCGGTTCCGGGGGGCGTGTGCGGCGGGCCCAGAGGATCATCCGCGTGCACCCCGTCACTGAAATTTATTCGAATGGCGATATAATGGCGTGCCATAAATTATCGTCTTGCAAGGTGGATACAGTTGGGTATTATCGTTTCATAATTATAGATTTTTGTTTTGTTGTACTTTGTTCTGTTAATGGTCGTCAAGAACATATTTGCTCGATTAAATTTTAACAAAATTAAACGATCTTTAATGCGATAAGTTAATTAAATTATTATTAGGAAAGAAGTAATCTGCTTGCTAATATTAAGCTTACATTAAGTAAGTGCTTAATCGCCGAAGTTTCTCAAGTATAATTATGTATGCATTTATGTATGTATGTATGTATATATATATATAAGGGACAAGGATATAGACTTGAGGAGATAAAAGAATAACAAGTACTCACTTGATCATGTTCTTTGGCAAAATGTTCATCTTCATGAGAGCCTTTTGAAACCTCTTTCTAGGTCCAAGTGTCATAAAGCCCTTATGCTCTTTCTTCGCCTCTTTGCAAGGAGACACGCTACTAGTGTCCGCCGGAATGAGGAGTGGCACTCCGCCAACCATTGGGTTCAGAGGATTAACAGGTGTCAGTGGATCAACGTGTGTTGATAATCTTATACGCGGATCAGTCTGCAGTCTTGGAAGCATTTCAGGTTTATTTGGTCGACTGCGTGGTCGTGGTGAATTGTCCGGCATTTGCAACATCTCTTTAAACGCTAGAAATTAAATAACGTTATAAGAAATGTAGTGGATAATTAATGCGTAACGTTAAAGCGCCGTTTACACGTTACGTTATCGATGAATTTATCATCCTTGTGTTCCCAGCTTAATTATATCATGTACTCGATGATCATAATGTCTCAAAAGTTTTTAACTTTATTTGTGAAATCCATGTCTATTTGGTTCCAAATTAAAAAAAAAAAAAAGAAAAGAAAAGAAAAGAAAAGAAGAAAAAAAATGGTTGCCTATACGTACTAAAAACTTACCTAAGAGATTAGATTTGACGGTTATGCTAAGATGCGTAGAACTTCGGAGAATTTCCAAGGCTTTCGCATGATTAACGTGCTCGAAACTTTGTCCGTTGACCTCGAGAATTTGGTCGCCTCGCTTCAGTCCGACGTCTTCCGCCTTCGACTTCTTCTCTACTTTGGAAATAAATATACCAAATCCTCTTTCGTAACCGCCTAAAATACTGAAGTGTAGAACTTCATCCCTACTTGGTCTCGCTAAAACGACATTTCGCGTTCGCGCTTTGGCGGCGCACGCGATGTTCAGCAATCTGTTTAAGAAAAGAAATTCCATTTAGTACACTAGTACATAATTGTAATGTTTAATTGTTCCATCGGTCATTAATAAGTAAATTTTATTTAAAAAATTTCCTACTTCGCTTTAACTATAGCATCGGTTTAACGAATGGAAGGCTTTTTTCCTTTCTTAGTTTTAACACGATCGTTATTAATGATTATTATTGCATACGATTTTATTAAATATAATAATGATAATGATAATTATAACAACAACAATAATAATGATACAATGAAAAACTAGTAAACTGTAGTTAGAAGTGTATAGATAATAAATAATCATGAAAATGGTATGATCGTAACATCATAGTATTACGTATGTGATTACACTTAAAATATATTTGTATCCATAACGTTTATCCAAATGCTCGTTACATCGATGTACAGATTATTCCTAATTAATTAATCCCTTCCATTCGTCAGCTTTAATACAGTCCCGTACGTAATTATGAGATGTCTGTACCGATAACCAGGATTGACCATGATTTTATACAAATGACGAACTTGTCGAGAAAGCTCATTACAGGAATCTCTTTTATCGACTCTGTTGCTTGATCACAGTCACATTTAACGTGAAGCTCTGAATGATGAATGTTCAAGTACTCGACGACATCGATCTCGAATATTCGAGCTACGAGTACTTGCAATTCGAGATTTCGAAGGTTTTCAAGTCAATGTCATCCTCATGCGAAAGCTTGATACTCGATAAAAACGAGCAATCGTGGGTAATGATAAAAAACTGGCCTACCTCTGTTGTCCTTGCATCTTCTCTCGCTCGAGGCAGGCCTCGAAGGCCTCCAAGAACTCCATCATTGCTGGATCGGTCTCGAAGTCCGTGAAGTGATTGTTGACCCAGAGCAGGACAACCCGCGCAACCCTGTCCCTGACTTGGGCCTGTTCGAACCAATCGAGCAGCTGCGTCGCGACGAAGAGCGAATTGTCGACGAAGGTGCGATGCGTCAGTAGAAAGTCCTCGACGTAGGTTGGATCCGTAATACTATTCTCTTCGATTAGCTGGAGCATTAGTCGGTCGGGGGTGCCCCTGATAACGACGTGGCCGCGCCTTGCCCCACCGTCCAAAGCGCCACGAAGCTCGGTCACCAGGATCACACGGCCGTTCTCTTCGTGCCGCCTCGTGTTCTCCTCGCCTTGGTGCTGGATCCTGTAGTAGTCAGCTTGGGTGACGCAGACGAACTGACAGTCATCGCACCTGCAAATACGACATCCAACGTTCGTATGAGTTATGATGAGGCACTCCTTCACGGTTGAATCATTTTACTTGGATTATTTTCCATTGTCTTTCACCTTACATTCCCCAAGCTTTGCACGATAATTAGTTCGAGCGAACGATAATGCGGGTTTTTCGTACTTTTTATTTATTTTCGCGGTTATGTTTTATGTGCTTGATTGAGACGGCACAAAATGGCGTTAGGGTAATAATTATTAAAAATTAATACAAAAATTCTGAGCACGCCTTATTTAAACATAAAAACAACAATTTTTAAATTATGGTTACAATTAATGCACTCGTAACGGAATATTAGACTTCTCGTTTCCCTATAAAAACGAATACGTGATTCTGTTAAAGCAAATTATATTATAAAAACATTAACGACTCTTAAAGTCATGAACAAGGTATTTTCATATTTATAAACACAATCCGAGAAAAGTGATTTTTTTACATATCTAATTTACATAATTTTTCTAACATTTAATTACCATTATAATAATGTTATTTTCTAGATATAATGTTCCCATAATCTTTCATCTGAAGTTGTAAAAATTTTAAGACACGTAACATTGTTCTTAACAAATGTATAGGCAATCAATCAGCATATTATTTTTAATTATTAATGTTCATAAAAATTACAACCAAAATATAGTACTTACTTTGTCCTCATAATCCCACGGTGCAGTAGCCTTTCCATCGTAGGCAAAATGCCAAAACTGTCCCCCACGTGCAACTGCTCGACCTCTCCATTATTGTATTCGACCTCCACAGTACCATTAATAAGAACGCTCCAACTATCTAGTTCCTCTCCATCGGTAAGGACCACCATACCCGCTCGTTCCACTACTGCAAATACCATAACTGCACATAAAGCTCTTCGTACCGCAAGAGTCATATTTGTAAAGGCTTTAAGATGCTGCGTAAACTCTAGGAGAACTTCGATGTCATCTTCGGTCCTTTCTACTGGATCTTTCTCTAAGCATTCTCGAACTGTATCACGCACGGTTAAACTCTACGAGTTAACAAAAAACAATTAATTACATTGGATGAAATGGCAATATCCATTATAATAGCTTGTTACTTTGTCACATTTAAGACAAAGTAAGGAAATAGGTTACACTTACATCCATACTCTCCGCAAGATCTTCCTCTTCATCGCTGTCCACTATCGACTCCACAAGACCAGAGAGGTCAACCTCATCTGGATCCGCGTCTAAGGAGCTCTGAACAGATGTCATCGTGTCCGATCCACTATATGCCGAACTGGTATCACTGGAGTGACTGCTTCGATTGGATTTCTGATAAAGTTCCGGCCGGCCTGTCAGGCCTTGTGAAAACTAAAACACAAGCACAATGTTTGTCAAATAAATCTCTCGATAATTATGAAAAATTGACAGATTTGTTAAATCAATTTATCTCCTTCCCCTGTTAATATCTTATAAATATATCTTTACACATATCTGTTAAACTTCGATTCAAACTAATTTTCCATTATATTCCCTAATGTAATAATAAGTATATATTATTACATAATTTTAAAAAACATACCTCGCTTATGGTAACAATGTTTTATTTACAAAAGCAAAACTTTTAATGTCAATAATATAAATTCATACAGCTTTATATTCAACATCATATATGAAAAGCCTTTCCATTGCTAATTCAACTAAAACTGCATAAATTATAAACACTTATTCCATTAGATTTACTATTAAGTATTTTATTTGCAACATAGAATTGAAATGATAAAAACAATTTTAACTCCTGGCAAAGTTAAAAAAATATCTTAAATAGTTATTCGACTATAAATACTGATTCATCAGCAGTCTCTTCACTACATATTTATTAAGACTTTATTCTATAAATATCATTTAGCCATAAAAGTTTTTGCAAAGTCTCATTGATTGTCTAATAATACTTAACAGTCGCCAATACTTTTATTATTACTTCAAGTACTCTTACAGCATCTTACTCAGTTTATGGTAAAACATAAAAAGTCAAATCATTTGTTGAATATAATTATGTAGCTCGTTCCAGGTACTCCTTAACGCTTATACAAGTCTTTCATTCCTCATAGAAGAACAAAGAAATTCAACAATTGATATTTGCTATTAAAACAATATTCTCATATATCCATCGGTACACGCAAGCAGATGTATTTTATTAAAGTTTTTTTAATTTATAAGATGGGGATAATTTTACTTTAAAGATTAATGCATTGGAGTGAACTTGAAAATTTATAATACACAAAGAACTAAAACAATAAGAACAAAAATCAACGTGTAAAGAGAAATAATACTATTAATTATGTTATTTTACTGAAATAACAGTAAAATAAGGAATTATACGATAGGATAGAAGTAATTATCTAATGAATAATAATTATATATATTTTTATTTACATTGTGGCATATTAACATTATGTATTACACACTTGTATCCGAATACAAAGGCAATTTTAAAATTGAAGGTGAAGATTAAATTAATCTTAAAGAATCTGTTCTCAAGCATTCGGACGAGTAAAACGAATGAAACGCATCAACAACGTGTCTATAGCAATAAGCATAATAATAAAAATTATAATAAATTTATAAGACCATACAATATTGCATTAAAGACAAAAAACACGTAATAATAGGGGTGATGAAAGCCAGCTCTTTCTAAACGAAAATACGCGTACGTTACATTAGACGATGTATGGGAGCCCGAGAAAATAGGAAAATTAAATTTCCCAGGTCATCGTCTGTCTTTCTCACGTCGCAGGTCAAGAAGGTGAAGGCGAGTGCCCGAACGAGTATGAGAGAGAGAGAGAGAGAGAGAGAGAGAGAGAGAGAAAACGGAATAACGAGTGTATAGAGAGAAACGACAACAGGAGAGCGAGAAGGCAATATAGCAGTAATGGGCGTGATTACGATGGGAAAGAGGGCGCGCGGAGAAGGAGGCGCGCATAAAGATTAGGTTAGGACGGGCACGACCTGACATCACGCACAGAGGCGCAGTGCCTCCTCGGTACTTAAGATGATACACCGCCTCTGAAAACATTTTCAGAATAGCCATTTATTACGGTCAATCCTTTGACTGTCCCGCTGTGCGCTTACGAACTTGCCCAGCGCAAGCACCAAATCAGCTAATTTCGCACCTGGATAATCATAGCCGGAACGGTGACAGGTTCAGCATGGACGA